CGGGCCCACCGCGGACCGAGCTTTGTCGCTACTACTTCCGCTGCGAGAGGCGCGCGCGCACGCGCACTCACTCGCACTGGCGGGGATGGCGGAAGTGAAGTGAAGGCTGAGCCGCCCACCCGGAGTGAGCTGTGGTTGGGTGTGTAGCAAGCAGTCCGGTAGGAGGGCACGCGGGCCCGGCGGTGGCTCCTCGCTGACCCTGGAGGACGGTGCCCACTCGTTTCTACGCACCCACTGGGCGCGAGAGTCGGAGATCCGCCCGCTCCCCCGCGCCGGCCACGCTTTCGCAGGAGGCAGCCGCGGGGTCGAGCCAGGCCGGCAGGCACAGTCATGGTCGATGTCCCCGAGATGTTTTCAGCGCCATCAACAAAGGTGACAGAGAAAGCCCCTCCCGTCGAGGTGGCCGTCACAATCTCGGCAGGCGACGCGAGGACCGCTGAGGGAAGGGGCCAGCGCAGAGAGGCGCTGGTGTTCCTATTGGGACCTCGCACCCTCACTTGCAGACCCCTGTTACGGCTGCTTTGCTCTAACTGCGGGAGCAGATCATCGCGGGGTGACTTCCCAAAGTTCTATCCCCTTAAGTATGCTTCATTGTCCATGTGTAGTGAGGGGGCAAATATCAGCCTCAAGAGAGCTCAAGGGAGAACTCAACCTTTTTCATTCGTTTCAAGTGTGTGGAACCGGAGAGGTTAGAACTAGAAACCGAGCGTCCAGAGATGGAAGCTGAAGAACGGGCATTGCCTTCTGCCGCTAGCTGTGTCTTTGGCCACTCGAACCGTTCAGTTGTTCAGCATCTAGCCCAGACCCCGCAATAAGTGATTTTTGATGGACGGTTGATTTTAAGCCTTGGTAAGCCAGACACAGGAAACATTGTACCGAAGCCCTCTCGCACCCAAATCCACTAGAGGGCAGGATTACACCTGAGTTCGAGTGCGTCCTCCGAGGAACTCCAGAGACCGCAAGGGAAATATCCTCCCTTATATGCTAGAGGTATTTTTCTCCATCAACTCATACCCATTAAAAAAATGTGCCCCTTATCTCAGAGCCCGTAGTATATCCCAGTATGCTCTCTGACCATCTGTTCAACGTACAGACAAAGGGACCTAGTTGCCTGTTTTCTTGTGTTTTGTCCCAAGTAAGCGGTACTAGTATAGGTTCAAAAATCCTGGACAGCTTTCTAGATTCACTTTTCTTTTTTTAAAAAAAATTGAGATTTCATTCAGCGAGGTTACTTTTAAATTTCAAAAAGTGAAACCATAAAAATCAGGATGAAGTAGATTTCTAGTCTCAAGAGCTACCACCCACCTACTTTAGCTTTCAAGACTCATCTACTTGGTGGTGTTATAAGGCCATAATCTGTACAATGAATGTGCTATCTCTTGGTCAATCTTATAATCAACTTTTAATGATTATTAGTTACTATACTTACTGAGCCTTGACACCACAGCATCACATTAAAGACATAAAGCATTTAAAGGAGGAAATGACATGATATAGACATTATTTTGTATTGACATAATCTTGCAAAATAGTAATTTACTACAGAATTTGCTATTGGATTGTGTTAATTAGGTCAAACATGTAAGGCAACTTTTCAGAATTACCTGTTATAACTGCAATAGCCCAGCATTAACACTGAATTCATAATTAACTCCCCCAAAGATTTATCACTCTATGGCTGATATATAGAGTAGCTTATACTGGAATTTTACTTTTTGGTTGCCTAAATTGTGAAAGCCATTGTGCCTCATGCTAAGCCAAAAAAAAAGAAACTAGATAAAACCAGCTTTGTATGGAAGAACTCTTACATACTTCATTCTTAATCCGCTGTCAATCATCTCACAAATTCCTAGGCTTGAGAGCCACAAAAACCTTAAAGGATAGGTAGTTCAACCACATAGCTGATCCTCGAGCCTTATTAACAAATCTCTACAGAGTGATCTTCTATTCTATGCCTGTACATATCCTTCACCAAGCTAGCCAACATCAGTAGCACTAGCTTTGACTTCCTATGTATATGAAAGTATTTATTAACACTTTAAATAAGCTAGAGCAGTGGGGAATGCTTAGGCCACAAGCTTCAGAAATCCTCTTCCTTCTCTCAGCATCACCTCCTCTGACCACTAACTTTTGTGTAGCAATCTCCACCTCCTCATCTCAGGGAAGGTGACAAAAATGTACATACACTGCATTACATGCATATACACACATACATACAGGTGTGTATAGACATTCATACATATTCATAGCTATATGTGCATATACTAATTCACATACACACATGCATATATATTATGAGATTTTATATTTAGATATAGGCATAATAACGATCTTTTCCTCTAAACATTGTAGTGAGGATCTGACAGTGAATACAGATTATAAATTGTAGGCGCTATAAAGGTATAAGATTATCAGAGAGGGAAACAAGCAAAAGCATGGACAATTAGCTAGAATGAGATTGATGGCAATGAAATGTATTTTGTTTAAGTTGCCTCTTAATTCTCCAGAAATCAATGCTTTAAAAAAATCTTTTCTGCTCTCATTTTGTTCTGAATATTTAGCCTACAAAATTAAATACATCTGATGTAAAAAGTGGTTATATGAGCACTAGAATGGCAATTTGTTAGGCATCTCTGCTTGGAGGAAATATTATAAATAGGAAAGGCTGAGGAAGAACGAACATGATGTTCTAATTTTATTAATACTGTGCCTTATTGCACAAAGGATATGAGGCATCTTGTTTTTATATCAAATTTGATAGCTGGCATTTTTATAAACCTGGATTACAAAGGGAGGAATATGTGGCCCTCTAAGATTTAAAAATTAACTTGAAAAAGTTTATTTTAAAATCCTTTCAATTAATGTCTTATTTTAAAAGCTGTTTTAACATTGTTTTAATTATCAAAGAGTAATGGTTAAAGAATTTTACCTAGCTGCTTAAAAATAAGTTGACATTTTTTTTTAAGTTGGATATTTTCAAAGCAAGTAAAGACGCAACACTTTACTTTTATAAACTAACCTACTCCAACAGAACAACAGAGGTGTTTTTCTTCTTATAGGATAAAAGACATGCTAAGGGTCAAGTCTGGGGAAATACAATCTTATTGCAAGAAATGTCATATGAAATGAGTGTCTAATAACCACCTGCCAGAATTGCTGTAAATCTGCTTGATTCTATGTCTTACTGATGCTGAAAGAGTAAAAACTGGAAGCAAGAAACAAAGTCAAGTGGACTCAAAAATGAAATACCTGTGTTTGGTTGGTTTTAAAGATACACTGACGAAGAACAACTTGAACTCAACAGGAATAAGCACTAATCATTGCAAGAAATGTTAAATATTGAGCACTGCCCAGAGCAGGTGAAATTTCAAACCCAGATTTTGAGCCCAAGAAACCATTTGAAATTAAAAGATAATGTTGAGGTGGCTGCTTCCATGCATGCAGGAACTTCTGACTGAGCTTGTGCTTTGGATTTCGATGGCATGCATATCAATGCCTAACAAAGTCAAAAGCACTATAATTTCTAACAGAGTCATTAGTTATTACCTTAGGGATTGAGGAATCTACTCTTAATTCTTGGACAAAAGAGCCGGGAGACTAGGTATAAACAGCAAGCCTTAGAATAGACATGTAAGTTAAATTGCCACTGGCCAGTATCTTCTTCTAACTTTGAAAACCTTGCTGATGGGTTGGTTGTCACAAATAGTTGAAACGATTGGACAGATTCTATATCATGCCTCCTGGTCCCCTGTTGTGTTTACAGTAATAGCCTAGGCCTCCTCTCTCCATTTAAATGTTTTTTCAATTGCACATCAGGAATGTTTTCGAACTCTCTTTACTCTGCTGTATACTGGGGTCTGAAAGAGCTTTGGAAAAGTTTGCATATCCTTAGACCTCCAAAATGGTACATTTTGCCCTTAAGTTTTCTACCCCACCATTTTCTAGACATCAAAATTTTTTTGCAAAGCTTGCATCTTTGCCTGAATTATCCCATATCCTTCCATACCCCCTGCAGAAATCATCTCTCTCCACTGTGCTTCCTATTGTGAGAACAAATGAGAAAAGAGGCAAAAAATGTCATTATGGTAATAAATTAGAGAGTAAGTTCCACAGGACAGAAATTGCCTGAGGATCCTAAAGCTTAGCCCCGGACAATCATGCAAACAGACCATACTCTTATTGAGCATACTACCCAAAATAGGGGGCCCACACCAAAGATAGTTTGCAAGAAAAGTGACAGAGAAGGGTAGAAATGCAATTTGGCAAGATGCTTTGCAAGATAGATGATAGAGAAGCAGAAGTACAATTTGGCAAGAAAGTTTTTGCAACACAAATTGATAAACCTTTAGGTTAAAAACTTCATTGCAACAAATATAGATCAAGTGGAAAATTAGGTTAGCAGCATTTACCATATACCTTTAGGCAACTTTATTTTTGCTTTCTTAGTTATAAAAGGCATTGTTCATGTAGCCTATTTCAGAAGATAGTAATAATAATGTAATGTGCCAAGTATCATATATTTGGGAGATTAGGAAAGTGAGGATTCCGGAAAGAAAAAACTTTCCACAGGCCAGGAACAAAAAAGCTGAAGTGCAAATTTGGGGCTTGGACTGGTCCAGCCATTCTCCAGTTCAAACAGCTGAATGCAAAACTATTTTCTAAGAAACTGCTACATCAACTAATAGGAATATTGGTGTTCTAAGTGAACAGTGTCCCACTCTAGAATGTTTAACAGGAAGCTGGCAAAGTAGAAATGGCCACCAGGCCCTATGAGGAGAGTAAAAGGAACTCTCTG